ATTGACTTAGAGTATACAGTGTGTCGACCTAACATCCATTTAATGGCAGTATCAAAAGAAGTAAAAGAAGCAAAGGCCCAAAAGAAAATATTTTAATATATCATGATGGAGGAAGGAGGGAGGGTGGGAGATAGGAAAAAAGGAAGGAAAGAGGGGGGAAGGGAGAATGAGAGGAAGGGAGGAAGATAAGGGAGGAGGGAGGGAGGAAGCAAGGGAGGAAGACTGATGGGGTAGTGGGGAGGGAGGGAGGGAAGGAAAAATTTTTTTTGAGATGGAGGCTTGCTCTGTTGCCCATGCTGGAGTGTGGTAGTGTGATCTCTGCTCACCACAACCTCTGCCTCCTGGGTTTAAGCAGTTCTCCTTCCTCAGCCTCCTGAGTAGCTGGAATTACAGGTGCATGCCACCATGCTCTCGGCTAATTTTTGTACTTTTAGTAGAGACAAAGTTTCACTATGTTGGCCAGGCTGGTCTCTAACTCCTGACCTCATGATCTGCCCACCTCAGCCTCCCAAAGTGCTGGGATTACAGGCATGAGCCACCCAGTCCAGCCAGGAAAACTTTCAAAACAGTCTTAGGAAGAAAGAGATCGCCTTTAAAGAAGCTATAAATAAACAGTCAACTGACTTTTTTCAAAGCCACATTGGAATCCAAAAGAAAAGCCTAGATCCTCTACCCATGAAAAATATCCTTTAAGAGTGAAGCTGAAATGTACACATTTGGGACAAGAAAAAAAACTACAAACAAAACCCCAGGAGCATTCACCACTAGCAGATCAGCATCTTTGCAAAGGAAAAGGAATGCGGCGCCCAGAGCTGTGTGGAATGCTGGAGCTGACATTTTGCTTGGAGCTTCCAAGGGAAAATCGCTCCTTGATGACCTGTGTGGACCAATGATCATGGGCATCAGTGTGAATCAGATGGACCCCACGTATGTCTTTATTATTCTCTAGAGCGTATGTATATTTATACACACACACATTCCGGGGCCTCCAGGGCCTCTGAGGCCCCAGAATGTGTGTGTAGATATATACACTCTGGAGAATAATAAAGTTATGCTTCTTGTGGTGCACAGACTACTGAAGGCAGGCTTTGCAAAGAGCTTGGAGACCTCCAATATTACATCTTAGCCACTCTCCTGAGTTACTAGGGGAGTCAAAGGACACAAGTCCTCTTAAAGCACCTCAAAGGCAAGGAAAGCCATACAGATTTGAGGCAATGATCATACGAGAAATCACTCCCTTAAAGTGACTGAAAGAGTATCAGTTGGGCTCAAGCAATTAAACAAATGTCAAATGCATCATGCATCTGTGATATGAATTTACAGGCGCACCTGAGCAAGAGCCCAACAACAATTCCTCATGTTGTGACTGGATCTTGGGGGGACTCCTGGAATTCTCTGGGAGAGCCCCTACCTAGGAGTGTCCCCCTCTCCTGGCTTCCCTGCCAGGAGCCACCTTCAGACACCAATGGACTATGGGTTCCCTCTCCCTAGCTTCTCCTGGTAATTCCCAACATCTCTGACCACTGGCAGCTCTCCCCTAGAGGCTGGAGGGCTACCGATCATTCCAGGGACGTTGCTGCATGCACCGATCCTAACCCCAGACAACCTTAAGAAGGCTGGGGAGGAATCTTATTCCCAGGATCATAAAACTTGCGGGAGAGGAGGAGTTTGAAAACAATTAATAACCTGCTGAGGACGTGACCAGACTCAGACTAACTTCCTGAAAACAAGGTACTTGTGTGTGTCTTCTCTCCCAATGTAACATCACAACTGCCTGGTGAACAACCAGCTCAAGGAACAGAAAAAAGAGATTTGCTGCTGTTGCTAGGGCTAGGGCCCCAAATGCATTAAGGCCCTTGATGGGGGAGTTAAGCCTGCATGATGGGGGTCCAGCATTATGGGGTAACCAAGAACTGTCTGCTCTCTAAGTGGTAAACAGTTTTCCCATGTGGGAGACACAATTCCACATCTTGATGAAAGCAGTTATAAAGTGAGACTGTTCCACCCCACCCCACCCCCCACCCGCCTCAGTCATGAGCATCCACAGTGCCTTTTCTTTTTAGAGACAGGGTGTCATTCTGTCAGCTAGGCTGGAGTACAGTGGTTGATCATAGCTCACTGAAGCCTTGAACTCCTGGCTCAAGCCATCCTCCCACCTCAGCCTCCTAAGTAGCTGGAACTACAGGCACACACCACCATGCCTGTCTCAGGTGCCGTTTCTTGAAGCATCTTCCACCTGGGTCTGAGCCTTGCTCCTGGAGTTATGCTTTGGCCAGGGCTGCTGGCACCTGAAGCCACCCTGACCCCTGAACATCCCCCAGACACACTAGTCCTGGCTCTCTCATTCTTCACGATGTCCATCGGGGCAGAGACCAGCCAATGGGAGGTCAGACCCTCCCTCCTCCAGATTCAGCGACATGTATGGGCTTTCATTATGTGCCTCTTCACAGATTTTATCTTTTTTCATTTTTGTGTCCCTTAGGATAGGAATTTCTAGCTCTACTTAATAGAAGAATGTGGGGCCAGGCACAATGGCTCACGCCTGTAATCTCAACACTTTAAGAGACCGAAGTAGGCGAATCACTTGAGGTCAGGAGTTCAAGACTAGCCAGGCCAACATGGTGAAACCCTGTCTCTACTAAAAATACAAAATTTAGCCAGGCTTGGTGGTAGGTACCTGTAATTCCAGCTACTTGGCAGGTTGAGGCAGGAGAATTGCTTGAACCTGGGAGACAGAGGTTGCAGTGAGCCGAGATTGTACCACTGCACTCCAGCCTGGGTGACAGAGCAAGACTCCATCTCAAAATAAATAAATAAAGATTAGTGTGGTAGGCAGAATAAAGTCCCCCAAAGAAGCACACAGCCTGACCCCTGAGACCTGTGTGTTTCCCTCTGTGGCAAAAGAGACTTTGAAGACGAGACTAAGTCAAAGATCTTAAGATAAATATATTATTATGGATTATCATAGCGGCCTCTAAATGCAACCACAAGTGTTCTTATAAGCAGGAGGCAGAAGGAAATTTGACAGGAAAGAAGGCAATGAAACAAGGCGCTGCTCTGCTGGCTTTGAAGATGGGGCAAGGGGTCACCAATCAAGGAATGCAAGGAATGCAGCATTAGAAGCTGGCAAAGGCAAGGAAATGGGTTCTCCCAGAGCCTCCACAGGATCTTGGTCCCACCAACATCTTGATTTTCGCCCAATGAAATTTATTTCAGACTTCTGACCTCCAGAAGGCTAAGAGAATAAATGAGTGTTGTTTTAAATCAACAAGTTTGTGGTGATATATTACAGAGGCAGTAGGAAAGTAATAAAATGAGGAAACAGAGACATTTAATGACTTGCTTCAAGTCACCCAGCAAGTCAGTGGAGCAGGAATTCACACTCTGGCTTTTGGATTCTAAGCCTCATATTCTTTCTGTTATACCATATACCATGCCTATTCTGAGACTCAGCAGCAATTGAGAGTGTAATAATTGGGGAACAGATAGAATAAGTAAACAGTGTGTGTGTGTTTGTGTGTGTGTGTGTGTGTGTGTGTGTGTGTGTGTGTGAGCAGAGGAAGAGAAAAGGGTAAGAAAGAGAACATGTCATTGACTTGTATTTATCTCTCAAACTATCCAATGGGAAATTGAGAAACACCAAATACAAATTATGAAAAGGTATTATTAAGCTCAACGTTTTGCCTCTGTTTTCTCTGGCCATAGTACAGTTGGTCTTCATACTGCAATACAGTGATGATCTTGTTCTGGTCAGGCGTTCACCTAAAGTACTGGTCTTACAGAAAGGCTTGAAAGAAAGCAAACGGGTTGAGTGTACTGGCTCACATCTGTAATCCCAGCACTTTGGGAGGCCAAGGAGGGCAGATCACTTGAGATCAGGAGTTCGAAACCAGCTTGGCCAATATGGTGAAACCCGACCTCTACTAAAAATACAAAAATTAGCTGGGAGTGATACCCGTAGTCCCAGCTACTCAGGAGGCTGAGACAGGAGAATTGCTTGAACCTGGGAGGTGGAGGTTGCAGTAAGCCAAGATCATACCATTGCACTCCAGCCTGGGAGACAGAGTGAGACTCCGTCTCTCAAAAAACAAACGACAAAAATTAAAAAATGACTGTCCCTTGTGAGACTTATCAAATAACAGAAAGCATATAGAATAGATACAAGCCAGGGCTCAGGTCTTGAAGGCTGGGGTTCAATGTCTGCATTTCCTAAAGGAAATCTAGGGCAAGCACAACTCTAATGGACAGGGGTCACTTTTGTTCCAGAGATCAGCCTTGAGCCCTTGCTTACTTGGTACACGTTGCATTTTCTCCTTCATTTTTAGCTCCTCAGGAACCCCTAGAATGGTAAACTGGGAAGGCACCTCACTTAACAAGGAATCTGGGGCCCAGAGAGGTTAGGGGTGGTTCAGATGCTGCTGGTTATGACCACAATCTGATGGGTCATCATTACTTGAAGGAGAGAGCGGAGCTTCGCTTAACTTCCTTAAAGCTCTCAATGAAAGAACCACAAGTGTCTGTCCCTTTGTTAAGAAAGCGGTTTATCATGAAATCCTCCCTGTTGCTGAACTAGTCAATACTTTTTTACATATGAAAACTCCACTCTGGTTAGTTACTGTTTGGACATGATGCCATAGCATTATCTGAGAGGTCACAACACATTTCATGTCCTTGGTCAGAAATAGAAAAACAGAAGCACAAGACCCCAAGTCAGAAGACGACAGCATGCCAGAACTTAGTGTCACCAAGCTTTCCTTTCTGTTTTGGGAACCTTTAACGTACCATCCAACAAACACTGGGAAATGTAAGTTGGAAAGGTCCCGCTATTGATTAAATTCCCTCATTATCTTCCAAGGCTCTCCCCCAAAACTGAAATCCCCGTATCAGCTCTCACAAGAACAATAGAAGGAAACAAGCATTTTCTAAGCCTTTGTTCCTTCTCCTGCCCAACCTCCTAACTCAATCTTCACCCCTGGTTTTAAAGCCACTAACACCTCTACTGCTCCCAGGACTTTTCTCTAGCTAGGATGCCCATCAACTGCTTTAATTGGAAGATGTAGTGAAGAGTTGTCTGAAGCCCACTTTGAGGAATCAATGTGGAATCAAAGTAGAAGATTCTTGATGCCCAGGTAGCCATCCTCCACCTAAACAGGGTCCTGCCAACATTATTGTACTGCCTAGATCACGACAGCACAGTGACAAGGTGTGCTGGTGATATCTTTCAGGACTTGCACTGGACAAATCCTCATAGATGTTGAACTCGTATTGGACAATAAAGCAGGAGTGTAAATAGCATGGCAGAGGCAATCTAGAGCTATCAGAAACTCTCATTCTCTGAATCAGGGGACTTTGCTTATTTTGTCAATAACATCTACTGGCAGAGAACTCCCAGGCCAGGGAAGCAGTGGGACTCCCCACAGGAAGGGGAGTCACCAGCAACTAACCATGCATGGTTTATCTTCACAGTGGACAATTGGTGGCCTTAGACATCATCTTCTACAATCGCATCTACATCCTCCCCTTTCTGTTTCAAGTTGTTCTCTTGGGAAACTGTTCACATTTTGAGGAGCTGAAAATGTACTGCCTCAAATCAGACTCATGTCGAGATTTCCGGGTTTGCTTTGAGGAATCCACTGATGGTGACTTGTTTAAAATTCTGCAGCTATTCTATTAGGTCCAATTCAACAGATAGTTACTAAGTGATTGCTGTAGCCAGTTTTTGGTGAGGTGGGAGTCTTCAGGTTGTCTCGGACCTCATGGAGTTCCCAGTCTATCTGGAAAGACAAAGTTAAGAAGTAATGAGCGTTGCAAAAGTACACTATAAATAGCAAGGAGATGTTAGTCTAGAGGGCCAGCTGCTGCTGTTGCCACTGCAGCAAATTGAAGCCAGAAAGAGAACCAGAGGAAATGCAGAAAATGTGCCTGGAAAAAAATAATAATAATAGCATGGTGGCCACCCACAATGGTGATCAAGGTTTTTTCCAAGTTCTAATGAAACATCCATTCATTTTTATTTTGTGAGATTCAAGCAGTAATGGCTGGGTATATAAAGAATTTCCTGTAGATTAATATGAAGCTGGAAGGAGTTGATAGACTTCAGCAGTGATTTGGGCTATTAATCCAAGCCAGTCATTCATTAACCCTCAGGAAGTTTTCTGTGCCAAAGTCATTATTATTATTATAAACTAAACCCCAAGCCCCAAATGGGTGTATGGCTACTTTTCTCTCCAGGATCCTGAGTGTTTGAGTCAGCCAGGGAGCCTGAATCATTTCCTGAATTCCTTTCTAGTTCATGGGAAGTTAGATTTTGTACCATGCACTTGCTGCCAAGGGAACCCAGCAAAGAGCCCTTTTGAGAGGTAACTAGCACTCTTGCCTTTTTACATGAGGTCCTGAGTCGCTATGGCAGATGTATCCCAATTTTTCTTTTTCTATACTTCTCTAGTATAAATTTTAGCTGGCAACTTGGCTGCCTAGCCAAAGACTACATTTCCCAGCCTCCCTTGCAGTAGCTATGGTCATGTGACTGGGTAAAGGCAGCAAAAATGATACGGGTCACACCTTGATCTTGCCCTCAAAAAATTGATAGTATCATCAACCCCCACACCGAGTCCCTTTCTACCTTTCCACTGCTGGAGGAGAGAACAAGAATCGAGGGATCTCCTTAGACACAGAGATGGAAAGCATGTATTAAGGACATTGAGCTGCCCCAGGTCAGGGCCTGCTGACCTCGAGACTGTGACATGGGAACATCAACTTCTCTCTTGGTAAGTCACTGTATTTTGGAGTCTCTTTGTTACAGCAGCTAAGACTGTACTCCTACAAACACAGTGCCTACCAAGCAAACCTGTGGCCCCCGCTCAGCGACCCTTCCATATTATATGTTGACGTATTAAGGCAGTGGCTTTTTTTTTTCTTTGAAACAGGGTCTCAGGCTGGAGTTCAGTGGCACAATCATGGCTCATTGCAACCTCTGTTTCCCAGGTTCAAGTGATTCTCCCACCTCAGCCTCCCGAGTAGCTGAGACTACATGCAAATGCCAACCATGCCCAGGTAATTTTTTTCATATTTTTGTAGAGATGGGTGTCTCAGACTCCTGAGTTCTAGTGATCCAACTGCTTCAGCTTCCCAAAATGCTGGGACTACAGGCATGAGCCACCATGCCCGGCTGGCAGTGGCTCTTTTTAATATTGTCTCATTTAATTATCCCAATAGTCCTGTGTGGTTGGTATTATTGCTGTACTATTTTAAAGATGAGAAAACTGCAGTAGAAATATATCAAAAAACTTGCTCAAGATTCCACAAGCAAGTAGGCGGTAGAGTGAAGATCCCAACCCAGCAGCGTAACTACCTGTTACCTCTTCCCTGTCTTGCCATTTCCCTGTAAGATGCCATGGTCACATCAACATTCCCTTTGAGGTCCAGATAAATACATACCCCGGGTTAAACAAATTCCAGAAAATAGCCTAACTTGGCTCCGTGTGTGTGTAATCCACCAGTCTTACTTTTCTAAAGGCAACATCGATCGGTCACCCTCCAAAGCTGTACCACGTGGTTCAATAGTTCAGCAGCTCCGCACTGATTGAATTCCTATTGTGTTCCTAGGCATTAAGTTTGACACTGGGGACGTAAAAATGGATAACACAGGGCCCTGGATCTCAAGGAACCAGCCGCCTGATGGAAAATAAAAGAGAGAGAGAGACTTAAATGGATGATTTCAGCATAATGAATGCGACAGGTGATAAGATAAGGCAATGCATCTGATATCACTGCTTTTCCAAGGCTTCTAAAGGGGTAAAAAATTACCCAGTGGGTATTTGAAGGAGAAAGTAAATAAAAGGAAATCTACCGAGACCTGTGCTATTTGGGAATACATGTTATTTTATCTAATCCCTACCATAAAACTAAGAGGGGTGAAATTTTATCTCTGTTTTACAAATGGGGAAAGTGAAGGGCAACCAGACCTACGTTCCCAAGTTCCTACACTCCACAGGAGAGGCAGCATTGAAATCTAGGTTAGCCTGAGTCCAGAGACCACGTTTTACTGACTGTTCCCAAAATAAAGAAGAAGTTGATCCTCTCTCTTGGGAAATTTTTCTTTTCTTGAGCCTTTGACTGGAACACACAACACCTGGAATTATGAAAACAGCTAAGAGAGAGTACTAGTTCTTTATAACATGGTGATTTCTATCAGTCTCAGGGAAAGTGTCTCTTACCAGCATGGAAAGAAAAGCAAGATTATAGGCAATTACTGTTTCTTTTTCCTGTTTTGTGGGGAGCTGCTTCTCCCCAACGCTGACGGTATTGATTCTGGGGGGTTCAGTCACAGTGTCTGGCTCCCTCGAGGTCTGTCTAATCAGCCCCCCATCCCTCCTGCTAACTCAGAAGCCCAAGGGAGGGGCATGTGTCCAAGTAAGGCCAGCCTGAGCTCATCGTGCAACTGCTGGAAGAAGAGAGAAGCACCTTTCACCCCTCTGGGCATCAAGCCAGGGAGGCCTAGAGGTGAGGCAGTGTGTTCAATCACAGAAACAATCAATCATTTATTCAATCAATCAATTTTCCTGAAGTCCTAAGCTGGCTTGGGTTCAGTTTCTTTTACTTGCCAACGAAACCATCCTAGTACTGTGGGAAAGGTCTGAGTACAAAAAGCAAGCTCACAATGTAATTTCAATACTTACATTTCTTATGTTTATTTCTGATTTTATATAGTATATACTTTATATATACAATATTCATATATAAAGTACTATGATTTTACATATAGAATATTATATTTATATATTTGTGTATTTATTATATTTATTATCTATTTTTTACCTGTTTATTGTATTTGTTATTTCAGTGCATAGAGTTTTGACTGGGCATAGTGCCTCCCACCTATAATCCCAGCACTTTGGGAGGCTAGGGTGGGAGTATCTCTTGAGGCCAGGAGCTCAAGACCAGCTTGGGCAACACAGTAAGACCCTTAGCTCTACAAAAAATTGTAAAAGTTAGCACGGTGGCATGCACCTGTAGTCCCAGGTATTCCAGAGGATACCTTGAGGCCAGAAGTGCAAAGCTGCAGGGAGCTATGATTGCACCACCGCACTCCAGCCTGGGCAACAGAGTAAGACCCTGTCTCAAAACAAACAAACAAACAAAAGCTGAAGAGTTTTCTAAGTTCTGAGAATTTCAGGCAGCCCACCATTTTCAAATGAAACCACAAAGACAAATGCTAAGGTTAAATATTTGGAATCGCCATCTTTTTACACGGCTCCTATGGCAGAGGTTTTTCATGCATTTCTTAACTAAGGTCTGGTCCTCATTTTTATTTGGAAGTTGCCAAGGATGCAGACAGTAACTTCTGGCTTAGTCACCAGCCCCACTCTATGAGATGTCAGCTATGCATATTTAAAGAGTTGTTAAATTTATGTTTCCACCTGAATTGCCATCTTTGTCTAACAAAACCCATGCTATGATAAACTAATTCCACTTTTTCTTCTTCTAAAAGGTATTACTCAAAATGGATTTCCCCAGGATTTCACAATTTTCTAGACTCTATGACCAAAAGTGGGACTATTTTTCCATCTCTATACTGGGGGCCTGGGCTGAAGTGTAAGCAGGTTTGGGGGTGCCTACTTGGTGTATCATCAGGGCTTTGGGGTTCCTGCCTCACTCCAGAGCCTTAACATCTGCTTCCTGGGGTCTAAGAGTTCTTGCCCATGGAGCAACCTCAGTTAGAGATGCCTTCAGAATGTAATTCTGCCTGCAAGAGGTGACACATGGATAACTCCACAGTAAGAAACAAATAGCTGAGAGCCAATTCTTTCTAATTCTGCAAGGAGAAAGAGTGAAGTGAGAAAAGGTGGGCAGAGGCTGCCTGATCCTGGGAGAAGCAGCCCACGAATGGGGAGTGAGGAGGAGGGATTCTGAAGGAGGAGGCCGAGAGTACAGGAGCTGCCCTCACAGCTCAGCCTGGCCAGCCATGGCATAATCCTGCCTGTGGCTTCTACTAGCCACGTGACCTCAGGCAATGCCTTAACTTCTCAGTATCCTCATCTGGCAGTGGAGATGATCAAACCTACATCACAGGGTATTGTCTTCCTAAAATCTCTCAAATCAGTGGAGGGCACAACACGATGCATGAGGCTCACCATCGGTGGACAGAAATTTAATCCCTAAGGATACAGGTAAATATTTGTTGAATGTTAGTCAATTAATGAGTGAATGAATGCATGAATAAATAATCACCCCTCCCTCCATTCAGTCAACCAGTCAGCAACCTCCTATCTCACCACATTCTACATTTGAAAACCACCACATTCTACATTCATTCAATAGATTACTTATTGTGCCTGGAAGTCAGAACCCGCGCCATAATTTGCCAGGTCTAGCATAAAATGAAAGGGGAGAGTCTTGTCCACAACTTACTAAGGATTTCAAAAAACAGAGAGAAGAGGGCATGTAGCTGGCCACACTGTCAGCATTTTAGGAGCCAGGGACACAATGGTGACAAAATAAGCAAGCACTCCTACCCTTGTGGAGTTTACATTCTAGCAAGAAGAGATAGACAATAAAACAAATCATTTTGTTTATACAAGAAATATAAATAAATATATCAGAAAAAATATAGAGAATGTTGGAGAGTGATTAGTACTAGTGGGGAAATGAATGAGGAAAATGGGTGAGGGAGCAGAGGGGTGGGGTTATTTGATTTTAATGAGGATGACCAGAAAGGCTTCACCGAGAAGGAGAATCTGAGTGAGAACGGAAAGAGACAAGGAAGGGGCTGAGCAGATATCTGGGGAAAGACTTCCCAACAAAGGGAACAGCGAGTGCAAAGGCTCTGCCAGGAGCATGCCAGGTATGTCCAAGGAAGAGCACGGGGCTTGGAGTAGCACAAGATGAAGTCAAAGAGGTAGAAGGTCTGGAGGACTCAATCCCCAAGGCTCCTGCGATTATGCAAGTGACACACAGGGTGGCCTGATACAGAGTGAGACAGGGAGGTGGTGAGAAGTGAGCAGATTCTGGATGTCTTTGGACGGCAAGGTCAAAGGATTTGCCAACACACTGAATATGGTGTGTGGGCAATAGAGAGGGGTCAAGAATCGCTCCAAGGTTGGGGGATTGAATAAAGCCCAAAGAAAAATAAATCTGCTGCCGCTGGCTGAGAGGGGGAAGTAGTGGGGAGGAGCAGTTTTGGGGGCATCACAGGAGATCATTTTGGGGCACTTTAAGTCTGAGATGCCTCTCAGTGGTTCAAGTAGAGGTACCGAGTAGACAGAGATAGGAATTTTGGAGTTGGGGGTGGGGACGTCCAAGCAGGAGGTACAAATCTGGGTGTCATCAACAGCAATGCAAGACATAAAAGATGTCAACCTAAATAATGACAGAGAGAGATAGGATCTCCACAGAAAGAGCTTATTTGGGAATTGCAGGGGATTACAACCTGGGCAACATGTGCTATAATGAATCATGGATGTATCCAAAGAGATTGGGGCTAAGGAAAACTTTTAAAGACAAAAAAAAGAAGAATTCCACATAAGTTGTTTGGAAACAGAGACTGCTGATGACAGGAGTTGGCAATGTCTCATTGGTGGAGGCTGCCATTGTTGGGCAATTGGCCTTGAGCAAATGGCTTACCTCAAATCCTGTATATTTGAGGAGTTCCTGGCATAGTCCCTGTCATATGTGCAGGGATTCCTTGTGACAAGTCCTGTTGCAGGCATATATGCACGTAGCCTTGTTCTTCATGGCCTTCGCCTTCATTTTGTTAGGGTTTGACATAAGTGACTCCATTCTGATATTGATAACCTCCACAAAGGAAAGGACCCCCAGGATCTCCAGTCCACCTGGAGAGATGAGACACAAACAGAGGCTTTCTAGCAGTACCAGGCAGTCACAAATGAGTGCAGGCAAAGAGCTGAAAGAGGGCATCAGAAAGTGGACTCTGAATGTAGGGAGTGGCATGGGCCTCCAAGGAGGAATGGGGGCAGGCTGACCAAGAAGAAGCCACAGAAAGAGCTGAGCCTGAGCAGCTGAGCTCAGTGGACCCCAGGGGATCTCACAGAATTCACCTGTCCATTCTACCTGCAGAATGACCTTCAAATCAACCTGTTTCTCACCAACGCTACTCCAGTAGCCCAGGTTCTTCTGCTGTTGCTCAGATGACCACAGGTGGGCTCCCTTCTACTCTCACTCCCTCCCGAGGCTTCCTCTTCACAGAAGCACCTGTTCTTAGAATGTAAATCACATTTTATCACTCCTTAGTTTAAAACCCACTCATGGTTTCCATAGGTTTTGCATTCTGGCCAAGGAAAATCATGTGAAAACTTTTCAAGGAAGTGGGGCTCCAACGAGCTGTTGAAAATTCACTGGCAGGTGACACTAAGCTTTATTATTCAAGGCAAAAGGAATCATGGAAACCAGTGTTTCTCAAGCTTCTTTTGTCCAAAACTCACAATAATAAATATGTTTATACCCACACACTGAAACAATCGTTACCCTAACTATCCATGATTCACTTTTTTAAAAATGCTATTTGTGGAAAGTAGAAAAGTTCCTTTTAAAGTTTCCTTTCTTGTTAAAGAATAAGTGTGCTAATAACTTTGTTAAGCCCTATCCTATGTAGCTGTTAAACATGCCATGCTTACAGGCATGTAGTATATTCTATGTCCTGGTACTTTAACCACGATATCTGTGCTGGACAGGCATATGCCAGGTCTTCATTGCTTTTACCTGTTTAAAAAAAGTTTTAAGTTGTTAGCCAATCAGGTTTTAGTTTAGATTGTGATGTCTGACTCCAACCAATGGAGATCAGACTCAGCAGTAAGGACGACCCCAAATGTGTAAGGGATAAATTTGTGTGTTTTTCCTTTGTTCATTGTACTTTCATGGAACAATGGCTAGCAAGGGTAACCTTCCTGCAGTCCAGGAAGTAAAAATTGTATTGCTGAAAAATCCTTTGTCTCAGTGCTAATTTTTCTTTGCAGCACTGAGCATCTATTTCCAACATCTATTTCCAACACTATTCTATTCTGTTCTTTTCAATTCTGTTAAATTCCAATCCATTCTATTCTGTTGTGTATCATTTCATTACAGTTTTTTAATGCTGGTCACAATAAACTCAATTGATTTTGCCAGCCATTAATATGTTGCAATCTTTGTTTTGTTGGTAGTAAAAGGCAAGGAATTAGGATGACCTACAGTGGAATGAGTGGCTCAGCCAGGCGAATCAGTCTAGCTAATAACAGCTCGTGTTCATGGAACAATTCCTGTGTGCCAAGCATTTTGCCATTACTTAGATACAATATTACATTTATTCCTCAAAATAAACCCTTAGGTAATGTTATACTTATTTTACAGTTGAAGTTTTCTGAGGTTTAAGAAAGTTAAAGTCCTTTGGACCTGATCACCAGGTAAGAAGTAGAATTTGAGTTTAGGTAGTCTGATTCCAGATCCTAAGCTCTGGCCCCACATCAGTCTAGTCATAAGGGACTAGAGGGAAAAAGATGAGACATCAGTTTGGAGCCAGGCATCCAAAGATCTATGCCCATCTAAATGGCATTGATATTTTTTCTTTTATTTTTAGTTGATATGCAATAATTGTGCATATTTATGGAACACAGAGTGATATTTTGTTACATGTATATAATGTACAATGATCAAATCAGCGTAATCACCATGGTTTCTGGTGAAAAATACTCAGTCATATGAATCACTGTTCTCCTATATATAATGAGTTAATTATTACTGGCTGCTTTCAAGATTTTTCCATTGTATCTGGTTTTCAACAGTGTGTGATGTGTCTGGACATAATTTCCTTACCATCACCTCGAACATTTATCATTTCTTTGTGTTATGGACAATCAAAATCCTCTCTTTTAGGCCAGGCTCAGTGGCTCACATCTGTAATTATAGCACTTTGGGAGATCGAAGTAGGTGGATTGCCTCAGCTCAGAAATTCAAGACCAGCCTGGCCAACATGGCAAAACCCCATCTCTACCAAAAATACAAAAAGTTAGCCAGGCATAATGGTGCATGCCTATAATTCCAGCTACAGAGGCATGAGAATCTGAGGCACAAGAGGCTGAGACACAAGAATCGCTACAGAGCGGCCATGCATGGTGGCTCACATCTATAATCTCAGCACTTTGGGAGGCCGAGGTGGGTGGATCATGAGGTCAGGAGATTGAGACCATCCTGACCAACATGGCGAAACCCCATCTATGCCAAAAACAAAAATTAGTGGGTATGGTGGCAAGTGCCTGTAGTCCCAGCTACTCGAGAGCCTGAGGCAGGGGAATCGCTTGAACCCGGGAAGTGGAGATTGCAGTGAGCTGAGATTGGGCCACTGCACTTCAGCCGCATAACAGAGCAAGACTCCATCTTAAAAAAGTAATCACTACAGAGCTACAGAGGCGTGAGAGGCTGAGGCACAAGAATGGGTTTAACAGCTGAGATTACAGGTGCCCACCACACCCAGCTAATTTCTGTATTTTTAGTAAAGATGGAATTTTGCCATGTTGGCCAGGCTGGTCTCAAACTCCTGACCTCAAGAGACCTGCCTGCCTTGAGCTCCCAAAGTGCTGGGATTAACAGACGTGAACCACTGCACCTGGCCTAGTTTCTAATAGTTGGGTGTAAAATTATAAATATAATTATTGTTCAAGTTTCTTATACTGTTCATATGTTCCATAATCAAACTAATTTTCTGTCTTCTTGGTTTATCAATTACTATGAGAGGTATGTTAAAAGCTCTCACTATGAGGATGGACTTGTCTATTTTTCCTCCTAATTATGTAAATTTTTGCTATATATGTTTTAAGGTGATCTTGTTAGGTACAAGGGAGGTGAATGTATCTTAATGAACGGCTCCTTTTATCATATGTAGTGACTTTTTCTCTTTAAAGTGCTTTATACTTGTATTAAAAAGTCCATTTTGGCTGTTATTACTATAGCTGAACTAGCTTTCTTTTGATTAGTATTCCCCGGTATGTATTTTCAACCTTTCTGTATCACTCTCATAAACAACACGCATACTAGAATACTAGATTGTGTGTGCATGTGTGTGTGTGTGTTTAACCTATTCTAACAATCTTTTTTTTTTTTTTTGAGACAGGGTCTCACTGTGGTGCTCAGGTTGGCCTCAAGCTCCTAGGCTCAAGCAGTCCTCTCACACCATCCTCCCAAGCAGCTGGGACTTCAGGCCATGAGCCATCATGCCTAGCCAACCAAATTAGCTGGTACCTTGATTTTGAACTTCCCAACCTCCAGAAACTGACCTATAGATATACGGTCACTTGATTTACAGCAAGGATAACAATGCAACACAATAAGAGAGATAATATTATTTTGAATAAATAGTGTTGGGTCCGTTGGCTATCTAGATGTAAAAAAATTAATATCAGTCTCTATATATTTTTAAAAACTATATACACAAAAAAAGAATTCGAGATGGATTATAGTTCTAAATTTGAAAAATATAAAAAGAAAACCTCTAAAAGAAATCATAGGAACATATATGATTTTGGACTAGGCAAATATTTCTTAAATAAGTCACACAAAGTAATAACTATAAAAAAAATAAGAGAATTGACCTTAAATAAATTAAAGGACAACTGCTTATCAAAAGCATCATTAATAGAGTGAGTCCGGGCATGGTGGCTCATGCATGTTATCCCAGCACTTTGGGAGGCCAAGGCAGGTAGATCACCTGAGGTCAGGAGTTTGAGACCAGCCTGGCCAACATAGTGAAACCCTATCTCTACTAAAAATACAAAAAAATTAACTAGGCATGGTAGTGGGCATCCCAGCTACTCGGGAGGCTGAGGCAGGAGAATCACTTGAACCCAGGAGGCAGAGGTTGCAGTGAGTCGAGATCTCACCATTGCACTCCAGCCTGGGCAACAGAGTGAGACTCTGTCTCAAAGAAGAATAATTTTACAAAAAAAAAAGTGAAAAAGCAAGCTAAAGAATGGGAGAAGGTATTTGCAATATATTTATGGTCACAAGAATTTCAAGTATATAAAGAAATATAAATCAGTAAGAAAAATACAGATGACCCACTAGAAAAAAAATGAGCAAAATACTTGAACAGACACTTTATAAGAGCATGTATCAAATTCCCACAATACATAGGAGAAAGTACACTCTCATTCATCATCCTGGAAATGCAAATCCAACCAGAGTGATTAATATAAGCCTGAGGAAAAAACAACACAAATTGCTTGGGAGGATGCAGAGTAATTAGAATGCTCCTACATTGTTGTCATTGCAGTTGGAATTTTTTTTTTTTTTTTTTTTTTTGAGGCAGAGTCTCGCTTTGTTGCCTAGGCTGGAGTGCATTGGCATAATCACAGCTCACTGCAGACTCCATCTCCTGGACTCAAGTGATCCTCCTATCTCAGCTTTCCGCATAGCTGGAAGTACAGGTGCATACCACCAAACCCAGCTAACATTTTAATTTTTTGCAGAGATGGGGTTTCACTATATTACCCAGGATGGTCTCAAACTCCTGGCCTCAAGCGATCCTCCTACCTTGGCTTCCCAAAGTGTTGGGATTACAGATGTGAGCCACAGTGTTTGGCCCATATGCTAAATAACTCTAATTATTTAAAATGAACAACCACTTTGAAAAACTGTTCAGCAGTATTCTCCAAATCTGAGTTTATACATAATTTTTCTCTTAAATATTTGTCCAACATAAATATCTTATGTTCAACAAAAACTCACACACCAGAATGTTCTAAGCAGCACTATTCACCAATATCCAAAAACTGAGAGCCATACAAATGTCCTACATGAACTTTCAAACCCTGGTTACCAAAACCAGCTGGAACACCCCCATCCCTAAGGGATACACCATATTAGTCACGTACTTGAAGCTCTGACTTCCAGTTCCCTCTTCATTTGGCCCCTAGAGATTTGCTTTACTTTCTTATAAGCTCGGTTTTACACTGAAGAGGCTGCATGTGATTGTTCATTCAGCATGTCAGGAGGTTTTGCTGCACAAGTATTACGAGGTTACATAGTTCCTGATATGCCTCATCATCTTTTCATGGCCCCATCTAGCTGTGAAGATTCTTCCTGGCCCTGGTTTTGCAGACTAAAGATAATATGTGTTGTAAAGGGGAGAAAGCAGAGAGGAAAAGAGAAGATACTTTCACTGAACACCCAAGGGTGGGGGGAGCATGGTTGGGGTGGTGTCTCTTCCCTAGTTCATCTGCTGAGAGGCTGCAGTGAACCCTGTCCAGGTCCCACTGGAGAACCCATGCCCCGCCTGGCTGGAAATCAGCACCCTGGCTGTCCTAAGAGCCCATCTCCAGTTCGATGAGGTTGACAACTATTTCTGGAGCCTCCCATCACCCAGCTGAGCAGCTGTCCACCTCCATCAGGTCTCTGGGTTGCTTTGGGCAGGGCTGGAATCCAGGCTGTCAGATACCCCTGACTGAGATGTGCTGAGAGGGTCGATCCTGGAGAGTCCCTCCCACCTTCTGCTTTGCCCCTGGCTCCTGGATGGATGCCCTTCAAGGTCATACCTCTCTCTGATAGAGGAATCCGTTTGATCACCAGGTGATGCTTGGACTTCTTGTGTCCTAATTTTCAAATAGCCCACGAGGCCCCAGGACACATGTTAACAGGCAGAGAAAACAGTAGCTCCTCCTGAGGGCTGTGCATGGCCCCAGAGTCCGGAATGACGAGTTTTCTGCTGACCACTTCTTTGCGGTTAAGTAAAAAGGCTTTCACATTTGGGGATAGAACTGAGGTTCCTTAGGGGCTACTGTCATCTTCAACCTGTGGCTAAGGAACAAGGGCTGGTGAACAGAGAGATGCTCAGGTCACAACAACAAAAAGAGGTGACAGTTATGAAGTATCCTACATGCCAGGCACAGTACCCAGAGCTTTACATAGGTTAGTTCATTTAATTCTCCAAATGACCCTAAAGATAGAGATAGATACACACATACATATATTATAAATAAATATAGGCTGGGTGCTGCGGCTCATGCCTGTAATCCCAGCACTTTGGGAGGCTGAGGCAGGCAGATCACGAGGTCAGGAGTTCGAGACCAGCCTGGCCAAAATGGTGAAACCCTGTCTCTACTAGAAAAAAAATACAGAAAATTACCTGGGCATGGTGGTGCATGCCTATAATCCCAGCTACTCAGGAGGCTGAGGCAGAATAATCACTTGAACCCAGGAGGTGGAGGTTGCAGTGAGCTGAGATCACACCACTGCACTCCAGCCTGGGTGACAGAGCAAGACTCTGTCTCAAAATAAATAAATATTGTAAATTAAGGTATAATTATATATTATATATAACCCCATTTGTGATTATTATAATCATATATAATTATATATACACATATGTTATAAATAAGTATATGATTTTATTTATACATTATATATATAATCCCCATTTTTCTGATGAGCCACTGAGACTGCAAGAGGTATGTGACTTGCTCCAAGTGACACAGTTAAGTGACAGAGCCAGGACTGAGCCCCAGAAAATCTGGCTCATGTCCTTGACCACGGTTCTAGACGTGAGTCTTTTGTCACTGATCCCAGACTCCACATCACCTCCAGTGCATGCCAGGCGCTGCCCCTGGAGAACCCTATCCACGCTTCTTGCTTTGGTGTCTCAGTGGACCCTTCGGTGGGTGTCTCAACAGGAGGGGTTCACAGAACGCCTTCTTGGCAGGATCACCAAGAGCCCCTCCTCATTTCCCCCTTCTTGTCCACCAAGGTGACCCTCTCCCTGTCCTTGTAGCTGGGGTCTCCTGCATGCCTTGGCCTTTCTGTCTCCTTCCCATTGACTTTGCCCAGCAACTACTGTAACTATTCTCACGTGCGTCGCTCTGACCCACACAAACCTGGACCAATCCCCCTGTTCCCCTCTCTGCCTCCTAAAGAGCGGGGTCCCCAACTGGACCATAGGACACGGCTGCCTTGGGCTGGGGGGGAGGGGCATCCGCTTGGCTCTTCCTTCCCTGGGAATGCCAGACCAGGAGTGGCCCCAGTCTTCCTTAAGGAGGAATGGTTTCTCTGAGAGGCAATGGAATGCGTTCCACAGGCAATAACCATCTTCAGTAGCTGCGGTTTAAAACTCAGAATAAGAAAGTCACCTTCAAAGAAGGCATGCCGCACATTTCCTGTTCAGGAGCTCAGTCTAGACTAGATGAGGGGCTCGCGCCTGTAGTCCCAACACTGGCAGGCTGAGGCCCAACCCTACCCTGGAGGCTCACCTCTGTGCAGCCTTCCGCCACCCACCCGGAGCCCGCCCTGATTCTCCGCAGGGAGAGTGAGGAATGACAGTTCCCGTCCCTGCTAGGCGGAACTAGATGACATCTTAAAGGCCCTTCCTACTGGGACTTACTCCGTCCCGATAACATCTGCCATTGAATAAGCACCATGGCCCCCCATAGCGATGCATGACCACACTCGGCCTTCCCAGCAACCCAGCCAGACTCTTACTGTGAACATCCTTTTCAGAAATGGGGACAGTCACTTGCCAAGATGCCAAAGCGGGTTAGGGGAAGAGAAAGGGTTTGGGTCCAGGTCTGTCAACCCCGAAGGCCGCCCCTGGGACTTCCCCAGCTCGCGAAGCCCGCTGCCTCTTCACAGGAAGTGAAAGGGACCGATAGATGGTGCTCGGGTGGAGTCCTGCCCAGAAGAATGGCCACTTCCGCAGCAAAACTGCCACAGCACAGGCCTTGTCAACAGCGGCCTCCCACCGTTAGCCACAGGGCCCTCTCACCTCTAAAACCCGCCTCCCTCTTCTCCACACGTCCCTACACACAAACACTAACTCCGTCACCCAGGAGACCACAGAACAAAGGGAAGGAGAGAGAGGGACAAAATGGGGCATAAATGAGATGCTGGACGGGCAGACAGGAAGAAAACACTTAAAGGCGGAGCACACCGGGACGTATTAGAAAGGAGTGTTTGATGCACCGGCTTTTAAGTGAAGCCGACACTCCTTACGTGGGGAGTGAACACAAATGAGTCTGTTTTCAACCGCATCACAGGCACTGCCTTGCAACCCCAAACAATATCTGCGCTTCAGGGGCTGCGCTGCGCTGTTTTATACACAGAATCACCTGGCACAGCTCCTGTCCCTGAGATGCAAATGAACGTTCTCATGGGGGAGGAGGTCGAGAGAGGCGAGGGGGAGGGGAGCAAGTGTGCTCTGCAGGCCACACTCAGGCGCTGACATTGCTGGGCATGATGGGTGCTGCCAGCGCTGTTGCTTAGCAACCCAATACCCTTCCAGAAAATCCAGCAGCCTCGCTGGCTTGCAGAAGCAGGCAGGGCGGGTTCAGCATGGCATTGGGCATGGAAAGATAATAATAGGGGTTTTTTTTTCCAGTTATTAATAATCATTCTTCCTGATTTCCCATACAGATCGACATACCTGAGGGGACACAGAGTCATCCACAACACTGGGGCTGGAAAAAGCCCAGGGTTTTTAAATTGCCTCCCAATCGGCCTCGGAGAGTAGTGGAATTTTACTGGCTGGTCCCATGACGCTCCTTCCAGCCCCGGCCCTCCCTCGCCACAACACAAAGGCAGAGCTCCGCGGTGACTCACCAGCATACCTTCAGATCGTTGTTTGTCAGCCCATGTCATGAGTCATGGTTTCTTCAGCCTGCTTTTTTCTCAAAACCGAAACACTTGACATTTTAGAATAGGGTTGAGGGGAGGCTTTTCTTTCTTTCTTTTTTTTTTTAAGCCACTCTGTGGCTTTGTGTGCAAGTGCGGGGGCGTGTGGGAAGAGGTGAGTAATGGATGCAGGAACAGGTAAACATGAGCCAGGTTCTCCGCGCCGTCAGCCGCCTGGCAACCATCAGTGCTCCAGGAAGCTGTCGTTTGTGTCGTGGAGGAATGGGAAGGCCCCTGGGCCATATATCTTGGGAGAGACCAGGCGCTGGACAGCATTCCGCCCTCCGTCCATGGCATCCCAGCACGCTCCCTCTATTCCCACACACAAAGAGGTCGGCTTCATTTCGTGCAGCGTGATAACAGCTTTCAGAAAAAGTAAACTGCGATGTAAGATGAGAAAAGAGAAGTGGAATTGCCACACAGAAACTGTGCTGGGCCAGACAGCTGTTGGTGGGTCCCTGGCTTTGGGTTCTGATTCTGACATAAATCGGGTGGGTGATGAGCTCCCGCTTATTTGCATGGCTCGGCACAGGTTTCCTCCCCTCCATGAAACCCACAACCTCTCATATGTATTCACTTAAACAGCACAGCCTTACCCCTAGAGTGTGAACCCCTCAAAGTCAGGCACCATTTTATAAATCTCTACATAGTATCAACCCAGCACATATCGAATACATACTAGATGTTCAGTCACGCTCCCTGTCTGTATGGAGAGATGGAGAAACGAAAAGTAACTAACTAAATCCAATTAACGTTTTGGAATCCTTATTTGTTCCCATGCTTTATAGGATGGATTCGATCTGCCCTGTCCAGTCCTGGAAAAGTAATGAAGACCTAGGAATGGATGCATCAGAAAACGTTTTGAAGGTTACACAATTCGAAATGCCATGATGCTATAAAGCATTCTTAGAAAAGGGAATCATTGGCCGGGTGTGGTGGCTCACACCTATAATCCTAGCACTTTGGGAGGCCAAGGTGAGTGGATCACCTGAGGCCAGGAGTTCGAGACCAGCCTGGCCAAGAGGGTGAAATGCCATCTCTACTAAAAATACAAAAATTCACTGGCGAGGTGGCAGGCACCTGTAATTCCAGCTACTTGGGAGGCTGAAGCAGGAGAATTGCTTGATTCCAGGAAGCAGAAGTTGCAGTGAGCTGATATGGTGCCACTGCACTCCAGCCTGGATGACAGAGTGAGAACCTGTCAAAAAAGAAAGGAAGGAAGGAAGAGAAAAGGTAATAATTATCCAAAGTCTCCCCACAGTCAGGGACGAGGACCAATTCTATACATAGGTAAATTAAGGAAGAAGAAAGTTAGAACTAATACAAAATACTTCCCCTGTCAGATTGGGGTAATGTCTGAAATCTCCACAATATTTGTTCCTTTAGGTTAAGATATTGAAGATCCGTGTCAAAGTGTCAATGTTCTCTAGCCTCAGCAATGTATTAATCCATTATTAACCTCAAGGTGCATTTGCTAAATTTATTAAATCCGCTCCCAGAGTGTAAGAGACCTAGGGATTGAGACTTGAAGCATGTAATTATGTTTTTACTTTGTGTTATGGAAATGTCCAAACGTGTACAAAACTTGGAGTAATAGTATAATCAAGCCCTGTGTGCTCATCAGCTAGCTTCAACGATCATCAGCCTACCACCAACCACGTTTTATCTACTTCCCCCCAGCACACACACACTGGATTATTTTGAAACAAATCCAAAACCTCACAGCATTTCGTTCATACATATATTGCAGTATATAACTTTAAAATATAAAGACTTACTTTTTATTTTTTTAGAGATAAGGATTCACCATGTTGCTCAGGCTGGTCTCAAGCTTCTGGCCTCAAGTAATCCTCCCACGTAGCGGGTATTACAGTCCTGAGCCACTGCACCCAGCTAAAAACATAAAGACTTTTTTAAAACATAACCACAATACCAGAATCATACAAAAAAAAAATCAAAACAACAATGAAAAAAAAAACAATTTTTTTTTGAGATGGAGTCTTGCTCCTCTCTTTTTTCTTTTCTTTTCTTTTTTTTTTTTTTTTTGAGTTGGAATTCACTCTGTTGCCCAGGCTAGAGTGCAGTGGCACAATCTTGGCTCACCGCAACCTCCACCTTCCGGGTTCAAGCGATTCTCCTGCCTCAGCCCCCCCAAACAGGTGAGACTACAGGCGTGCACCACCATGCCTGGCTAATTTTTGTTATTTTTAATTGAGACAGGTTATCACCCTGTTGGCCAGGCTGGTCTCGAATTCCTGACCTCAGGTGATTCGTCTGCCTCAGCATCCCATAGTGCTGGGATTAGAGGCGTGAGCTACCACATCCACCCAACAATTTCTTAATATCATCAAATATCTGGTTGGTAGTCAGCATTCAAATATCCCTGTTAAAATAGTTCAGGGGTTGGTTCCAAGTCTTTGCTATTGTGAAGAGTGCTACAATAAACATACATGTGCATGCGTCTTTACAACAGAACGATTTACACTCCTTTGGGTATATACCCAGTAATGGGCTTGCTAGGTCAAATGGCATTTCTATTTCTAGATCCTTGAAGAATCGCCACACTGTTTTCTACAATGGTTGAATTGATTTACACTCCCACAACAGTATAAGAGCATTCCTATTTCTCCACATCCTCACCTGCATCTGTTGTCTCCTGATTTTCTAATGATCGCCATTCTAACTGGAGTGACGTAGTATCTCAATGTGGTTTTGATTTGCATTTCTCTAATGACCAGTGACGGATGCAGCGAACCATTACTATGGCATGTGTATACCTGTGTAACAAACCTGCATGATCTGCACATGCACCCCAGCACTTACAGTATGACAAATAAATTTTTAAAAATAAATAAAATAGTTCAGGGGTTCTTTTTAAATGAATGAACTTGAATCGTTAGAGCAAATTCAGGTTCACAGCAAAACTGGGCAGCAAGCACAGCTCCCGCATGCTCCCTGTCCCCAGATATGTACTATCTCCCCCACCATGGATGTCCCTCACCAGAGGAGGACCTTTGTTACAATCAATGAACCTTCATTGACACATCATTATCACCCAATGTCCATAGTTTACATTGGAGTTCTTTCTTCGTGTTGTATGGGTTTGGACAAATGTATCATGACATGGATCAACTATTACATCATACAGAATAGTTTCAGTACCCTAAAAACCCTCCGTGTTCTGCCTGTTGATTCTGTCCTCCCTCCAGCCCCGGGCAACTACCGATCTCCATCATCTTGCCTTTTCCAAATGTCATACAGTTGGAATCATATAGCATGTAGCCTTTTCAGATGGGTTATTTCACTTAGTAATCTGCATTTAAGTTTCCTCCATGTCTTTTCATGGCTTGACAGCTCATTTCCATTTAGTACTGAATAATATTCCACTGTCCAGATATACCACAGTGTGTTTATCCATTCCCCTACTGGAGGACATCTTGGTTGCTTCCAGGTTTTGACAATTACGAATAAAGCAGGTATAAAATCCTGTGTAGGTTTCTGTGTGGATATGTTTTCAACTCATTTGGGTAAATACCAAGGAGTGTAATTGCTAGATAATGATGTAACAGTATGTTAGTTTTGTAAGAAACTGCCAAAGTGTCTTCCAAAGTGTCTTATTCATTTTGCATTCTCAGCAGCAAAGAATGAGAGTTCTTGTTTCAGTTCCTCATCAGCATTTGGTGTTGTGAGTGTTTGGATTTTGGCCCTTGTAATAGTCATGTAGTTATATCTTTTGTCATTTTTATTTGCAATTCCCTAACAACAAATGATGTTGAATATCTCTTCATATACTTATTTGCCATCTGTATGCCTTCTTTGGTGAGGTGCCTGTTCAGGTCTTTTGCCCATTTTTTGATTGAACTTCTCTCTTTTTTTTTTTTTTTTTTTTTTTTGAGACAGGGTCTTGTTCTGTTGCCCAGGCTGGAGTACATGCAGTGGTGTGATCTCAGCTCATTGCAACCTCTGCCACCTGGGCTCAAGCAATCCTTCCACCTCAGCCTCCTGAGTAGCTGAGACTACAGGTGCACATTACCATGATTTGGAGGGTTTTGTTTGTTTGTTTGTTTGTTTGTTTGTTTGTTAGGTAGAGATGTGGTTTCACCACATTGCCTAGGCTGGTCTCGAATGCCTGGACTCAAGTGATCCACCTGCCTTGGCCTCGCAAAGTGATGGGATTACAGGTGTAAGTCACCGCACCTGGCCTGTACTGTTCCTTTTCTTATTGTTGAGCTTCAACAGTACACTGTTGAGGTTAAAGTGGTCAGATTCAGAACATGGCCAGGGCTAGTCTTAAGAGTATGCCCAGGGAAAAACAAGACATGGATTTTGAATTTCACCTGTTTCACCATTTTGTTTTCCTGTTTCACAGTTGTTGATAGCAATTCATGCATGAGGCAGGACACAGATGTGGAATTCAGAATACGAATTTCTCTTCCTACCAGCCAGTGTCATACACCAGCTTCCCCCAGCTGTTATAACAAAGAGCTGGGTTTTCTTAACCTGAAGGTAGTAGGACTTGATTATTTAATCCCATTGTCAGCTCTGCCTGATCAATCATAAATAAGCTAGATATCTTTGTCTGAGCCTCAGTTTCCTTGTAAAATAGACGTAATAATAGAACCTTCCTCATACAGCTCTTAAGAGATTTAAAGAGGATAATGTATGTAAAGCACTTAGGAAAGCTCTTGGCAGGGCACACTCATAATGAAGATGAACTATTATATTGTTACTTCCCAGTCTCCTTGGAAACCAAAGCTGTGGGCAAGCTGATGCTTGATGAAGATCCTAATGGCCCATCGTGGTCTCTCCTCTGCTTGACAAAACGCTAAATCTGAAATGTTTCAAGCTAGTATTCTTGATAGGCTTCAGACCACTGGCATTCAAATCATACCAAACAATT